ATTCCCTCATCCAAGTCATTGATGAAGATGTTGAAGAGTACTGGGCCTAAAACAGAGCCTTGGGGTACTCCACCTCATACACTGCATACACTCCACTGCATTTCGATTCTGACGGATAAAATGAATTATTTCTTTAAGTGAATGTTAGTTGGCTAACTGATATTCTCAGTTCTCAAGTTTCTTTTTCTTTGTTTATTAGTTTGATCAGTAGCTAGTGTTGTTTCATGAATATTATTATGGTTGTCCTATTTTTTTTTTAACTGAGTGGACTACGTAATCACTGTTGTTGATTGGAGAAGCGTTATCAACCTTATAAATGTAAATAATTTGTTTAAAATGATGGGAAGAGAACATCCAGTTTGTTTAGTGTTGATTAATAATGTATTTGCTTTCATCTCACTCTCAGAATATATGGAAGCAATTAGTGGATAATCCAATTGATGTATCGTATGTCTTGAGTGATTCGTTCCATCAAAATTCTGGGTGGTTCTGCATTTTTTTAAAAACAGGGTCTTATTCTGGAGGAATGACACAAAAACCTGCATTTATTTTTGCATACATCTTTGCCAAACCTACGAGCTTAATGTGAATCTAAAATTAAAATTTAGTGCAAATTTTAATGCAACGTGATAAGCACTTAGCACCTAGTGTATTTTTAGCTGAGAAATATTTCAAAGGGTAGGCGAAAGAACTTGGTGAATTATGGCCTCATTTGTACCGCAACAGACTCCGTTTTGGCAGACAAAGACTCTGTGCTTGAAAAGATATCCATGATAGATATTTCCAGCACTCCTACATTAGACCATGTATCAGTTTCATTTTTATGGCCCTGTGTATCAAACTATTCCAGATCTTTCAACCACAGTTAATAGACTGGCCAAACTTATGCCCGTACAGTTCTCAGTGATATGCTTTCAGATTTAAACCTTTGCAATAGTCCAGCCTGTCTGTAGTTTTTGCCTGTCCTTTATTTTTATTTTATTTTTAAAGTTAATGCTTATTTTCTGAATTCTGGAGCCTGCAGGAATAAGAGCAGCAGAATCTGTTTGATTTATCTGCAGGTGGTGGGCAATCCAGATCAGAAGGAAGACAATCTGGATGAGCAGTACCAGGAAGAGGGAGAAGAAGAGGTAAGTAAGGTGAAATTATGAACCTCCACTTCGCAGGTTTATGGTGAGGATAATATATGGCGGTGGGTTGAATTTATGTGTCCTGTTGTTCTTGGAGGAAGAGCAGGCTGAATGATGGAAAACATTACAGAAAAAAAGCTGTGATAATATATCTGAGTGGAACCCTAAGCCCATATTTTTCAAGTCCAACAATGTAATGTATAGTCCACAGGTAGTCTCTGCAAGCAAGGACAAGCTCAAGCAGTACATAGCAATAGCAATAGCAGTTAGACTTATATATCGCTTCATAGGGCTTTCAGCCCTCTCTAAGCGGTTTACAGAGTCAGCATATTGCCCCC